ATTTTGGTTTGGTGGTTGGTTTTTGTTTGTTTGTTTTTAAAGCCTAGCCGTGCTGACACAAGTGGCTTTGCCTTGCTAGTGTACAGTATAACCTACACATAGGAAAAGGTAATTCTAGAAGGGCAAAACCTTTCCCTTGGCCATGTTGTATTTTTAAGCTTGGTACCTGGAGTTCCCTGCATCTCCCTCCTTTGCTGGAAGCGCCAGACCTGCGGCAAGGTAATGCTGTGGCAGTGCTCTGACACCCTCGGCCTCAGGCCAGGTGGCTGAACCTGCCCCTTGCCCACGGGCTAGTTGAAGGAGCCATTCTTGGTCTCCTTTAGCCCCGTATAGGTCAGAGCACTCAAACTGCTGTCCTCCGCAGCAGAGGCCGTGCTGGAGCTGAGGGGACAGATGAGGTTTGTGGCTGGGTTTGTTTCCATCACAAACAGGTGAAGGAAAGTTGTGGCAAAAACTTGAGTGGAACGACGGCGACCGGCCCCTTGGTGGGGATGGCAGGGACGGGGACATCAGCAGTGTCCTGGGTGGTTATAAAGTGGCAGGACCACCTGCCGAGCGCTGGCGCAGGTGCGTGCTGCCTCAGGCTGGGACTCGGGAGGTGAACCTGCCAAGGGGCGGTAATTTTGAAGTGGGGATTTCGGGAGGACACGCAGCTGCGGCACTGCAGGCGCGCACCCCACGCTCGCAGCCCAGCACACACGGGCAGCGTAGCACATGTTCGCCCACCCTCTGATCTGGCCTGGCTGCTTGCCACTCCCTTCAGCATCCCTGAGCCCTGCAGTCATGGAGGAAAACCAAAAAGAAGGCTGACCCCCTTGCCCGTTGCTGTGCTGGGGGGCCTGGTTTTAATAAAGGGCTCGTATGCTGCTCTAGTCCTTCCAAAAGGCATGAAGCCCTGGGCCTGCTCAGTGCTGGCCAGAATAACCCTGATGGTTTGAGGGCTCTTTTTTTTTATTTTTGATTCGGTGCTGCTCGTGAAGCTGGAATGGGGACCTGAGGCACAGAATTATTCAAAGATGTGGCCACAATCACACCGTGGCACCCAGTATGCGTCATGGGACATTACCACCAATTCGTCCTGAACAGCAGCTGGTCAAAATTTCCCCCTGGTGTTTTGGGATGCTGCTAGCTGACCTGCACGGGCACGACACTCCTCTGCCACCACAGGAACCACTGGGACATGTCAATGCACTGCCCCAGCACGGACTCACCGTCAAGTTTCTGCTCCAGCACCAGTCAGGCTGGGCAACCCCCGGCAGTTTGGCTGCGAGATCAGTGAAGACAATTGCTGGTGAGGGGAGTTTATGGACAATTGCAAGCTGTGAATCACAGGAAAATCAGCAGGAAGCAGATGCTCAAAACTTCTGGTCTATTAGGCTCCCAGCCCAATGCACCTCTCTCCACATTACAGGCTATTTTGGGAGTGACAATGGGCAAAATTTCAGACTTTACATGGGACTTGGTCTGCTCTTGCCATGAAAAGCAGCAGCCATTTTCCTAGGCAGAGAGTCCCCTGCCGTGAGCAGCTCTGAAAAGGGAATAGCCACTGGGCAGGGAAAGGAAGCTGCTGCTTTTTTTTTTTTTTTTTTTTTTTTTTTTTTTTTCTTTTCTTTTCTGGGGTGAGCTGGCACCGTATCGGATGCATGCCAAAGCAAACCAACCTATGGGCTCCCAGCCGTGGCAGCACGTCCCTGCTTGCAGGGCGGTGGGGAGATGCAGCCCTCCCTCGCCCGGCCCAGTTCTGCACGCCACGCTGCCTCGCTCCAACCCAGCTCTGCACTTGGCCGGGACATCGAGGAACACCCTCGTCCAGGTACACAAACACCCCTGGGTGCTGCAACCCCCCGCCGGCTCGGCTCAAAGGCACTGCCAGTCAGATTTAGCTGTTAGACATTCAAAACTGTCCTTCTGTAGGATTTTCCCGGTATTTTAACTACCCCATCGAGACTGTGAGCTGTTTTTTGTGCGGTTCTCCAGCAAACTGAGCAGTTCTGCTGGATACACTCTTCTGGAGCAGCCATTAATGATTGCACCCTGCTAGCGCACACTGGGACACCCATGAAGAGCAGACCTGCCCAAGGGGTTGGACCTTCCCAGCCCTCTCCTTATGCCTCAGTTCTGCACAGGCTCAAACCACCTTTGCTTTTGGCTCCTGTGCTAAGATGAAATCGGCCGTTGTCCCCAGGCATGGTAAAAATTCTTACATTTTAGGCTGTCTAGCATAAACCAGACATGAACCCTCTGAGAAGCGTTTCTGAGCAGGTCTTCAGCTCCTGTGTAATTCAGCCTTGGACGCTTGTAAAAGGCATGTCTATGCTTTCATTGAGGCACTAATTGCTTCCACATTGCAGCCTCCTGCTTGCCGGGGTTTAGCATCTGTCAGGAGCACCCATTTTTGTTCCCAGCTGGGGCTTGCTGCGAGCTGGCTGCTGCGCTCATGGCACAGCACAGCTTTTGCAAAAACTGTTCAACACCCACCCAGCGCCAAGCCCCTGCACTGCCCCAGCTCACCGCTCGCACGTCTGGGCTGGACACAAAAGGACTCTGGGCACGGGAGGCGTGCATGCCTGCTCCCCTCCCTGCACACACATCCTCATGTTAGTAGCAAGCCTTTTCTCCTAGGTACGCTTCCAGTACCCTCTGAGCCCATGTGCAGCCCAGCTGTCCTTGTAGAAAGGCTGTTTTGTTTTGGCTTGGTTTTTTTTTTTTTTTTTTTTCCTCCCAAACCCATAGGACCTGCTACACCACACATTGGCCTCGGCTGCAATTTTTCACATCCAGCCCCGGGGCTGAGGACCACCGCTGTAACAGAGGCAGGTCTTCCAGTCACTCTTTCCACATGCGGAGCCACTTGCCTTTCATGTTGTGTCTTTCCCAGACGTACAGCAGCAGAGGAATGTTTATAGGGGATGCCTGGTTTGGATTTGTCAAGCTAGTTTTAACAGACCACGGCCAGACCCTTTTCCTGCCTCCCAGCTTAGCTGAGAGCACCGTGCCTTTTTCCACCCCTGCTTTCCTCAGACTGCTCCACATAACTGACAAACGAGGAGGTGCAAGCCTCTGCTTCCCATCGTTTTCTCCCCCCATCCCAGCCCATTAAATCAAGCGTGTTACCGGCACGAGACAGATTCTCTTCAAGGCACAAAACATCTTGTGTCTGTGTGACAGTGTAAGTAAAAACCAATGCCTGTGGTTAAATCTGGCTGGAAACGTCATTTTAGGCAGCAAGGTGGGGCTAGTGCTGGGTTTCTGCAGGCTGGCCCTGCTGAGCTCTCTGAACGCAGCCTCAGTGCAGGCCGGTGAAGAGGCAGCTTTAAGCATCATCCGAACTAAAGCAACTTCTCCAGCCCAGGCTGCACACCCACGAAGGAGCACAGACAGACAGTGGTGGGAGAGCCCAAATAATGCCCTGCTGGGCTACTCCCAGGGCCATCAGCCCGTCTGCAGAAGCCTAGAGCTGCACAGGGGCACAAGTGGCAGACAGGAGCCCAATTGAAGGACTCCTGAGGAATGAACACCCTGTCTGGGCCCCTGTCAGGGCTGTCTGCAGAGCTATCAGCCTCTCTGTCCAGGAGCAAAATCCATCACCACAAGTCTTTGTCTTTGGGATGGGAATCTAATCAATGCTTACAAACACCTGATGGGAGGGTGGGAAGAGGAGGGAGCCAGGCTCTTTTCAGTGGTTGCCCAGGGTCAGGACAGGAGGCACTGGGCACAAACTGAAACACAGAAGGTTCCCTCTGAACATCAAGAAACACTTTTTTACTGTGGTGGCAACAGAGCACTGGCATAGGTTGCCTAGGGAGGTTATGGAGTCTCCATCCTTGGAAACAGTAAAAAAACCACCCAGACACAGTACTGGACAGCCTGCTCTAGGTGGCCCCGCTTTGAGCGCAGGAACGGACCAGAGGAGCTCCAAGGGTCACTTCAACCTCAACCATGCTGCGAGTCTGTATCACAGAGCTCTCCAGGTCACCTTTTGGGCTAAGGATTGCTCTCTAGGGGTGTGGCACCCATCAGGGGATGCAGGGGAAGAACATTCGGAGATTGCACAGGACTTGTTCAGGGGAGGAATCAAAGGTGGGAAAAGGGAGGGCCTTAAGTGATTCAGGGAACAAGCGTGGGAAGTAGAGGCGTAAAGGAATAGAGAGCTAGTTGTGTGTAGTTTGCTAGCGGATACGCTTGTCTGGCACTGCCCTGCACCCGATCAGCACAATCTGTCCTACATCCTTATTAAACTGCTTTCTAACTTTCCTCAGTGAGGGCTCTGTGTTGTGTCCATGTGAGCACACGGGGATGCGAGGGCAGCAGCTGGAATCAGACTGTGGGTCGCAGGAGCTGTGTGTCCATGATGCAGCAACTGAAGCTATTGCCAGTGAAGACCTAGCTGGAGAACGGGTGAAACAGCCTGGGAGAAAAGGGGTGTGGGGGTCTCTCAGGGCCAGGTCGGGGTGTGAGAACACGTGGCTGGTTCTAGGAGAGCGAAAGGCTACGGGACCAGCACAGTCCTGGCCACCGTGTGTCTGTGAGCGAGACTGTCCGCACCGGTAACTGGAGTGGGGCTGCAGCCTCAGAGGTTCAACATTCCCAGATGCCAGCAACTAGGAAAGTGGCATCATCGAGGGTCTAGTCCAGCAAGTGGAGGGAGGGATCCACCATCTGTGTGTGTACGTGCACACACACATGTGCATACAGGGCCTTGGTGCTGTCTGTTTGCATTAAGTGCTGTGTGTGTGTCTGTCTGTGATCTGTGTGGCCAAAGGTGTATGTATGTAGCGTGTACATGTGCTCTGTGCCTACTGGGAAGGCATCTGCAGCCTCACTGGAGGCAGGACCTGGCAGGATAGAGCTGCAGCAGCCTCGCCTCTCTTCAGCTGTCAGACCTGGCATGATACACTCCTCTAATGCTGGCCTTCCTGCTAGAGCTTTTGTGTAGTTAGCAGGATGCTCATGACCACACAAGAGTGCTTTGTCAGCAATTCGAAAAGGATACAAAGGACTAAGGGCCTTTGAAAAGTTTTATTCTACACCCTCACTTTCAGAAACCTTTACACAAGCTACAGAAGCCAAATCAAAGCAGTGAGTTGCAAGTTTCCTCTTCAGGCGTATGAGCAGACCTGCTTTGCACTAATTCACCTTTCCTGTGTCCAAAAGCAGAGAGTTGCACTCCTTCATCTGCCCCAGATACTGAAAGGACCTGATTTTTGGTTGATGTTGTTGAGTTAGTATCAGCCACTAGGAGGGTCATACCCACATTGGAGCAGTCCCTGCTCCTCCCCCCCCCCCCCCCCCCCCCCCCCCGCCTCCTCCCACTTTGGAAACACTGTAAAGCCTCCAAGAACAAGGTGATTTCTGACCTATAGGAGCACATCTGCAAGAGAAGACCTAGTCTGTGAACAGCAAAGCCAGCCCAAGGCAGGCAAGTGAGTTTCCATCCAGTATTTCAAGAGGGAACAGGTAAAGGGATTTGCTCACAGATACTGGCAGGTCCCAGGAGAAGCCGTTTCACCTCTCACAGCAAGGTATCAGCCACTTAGATCATTCAAAACGGCTGCAGTTCAGCAGCTGGATCAGGTGCAGACTTGTGGAGTTCCCCTCAGGCCTGCTTTCAGAAATGTGCCTGTCTGCCTTTAAAAAGGAGCCCAAGCTCTCCTGCATATCAATAAGCAATAAGGTTCTCCAGAAGCTGTTCTGCCTTCTACCTTGCTCAGACGATGAGAAGTGCTATCTCTTCTCCGTGGTTTTCAGGTTTTCCACCAGGGAGGGAGGCTTTTTGGTTCTATAGGCAGCAGTGCCTGCGATCCGGGCCCCTCTGATGGTACTGATATATGGCAAAAGGGGAGGCTCCCGAACCACCACCGTGGTGCCCTCAGGAGTATAGGCTCGGAGCAGCAATTTCTCTTCCGCGTGAGCCGTCACTGCCACCCAGCCTGCACAGACAAAAAAAAATACAGACAGTCAGCAAGACGAGTCACTCGGATCAGCACAAGGGTTCTGGCACAAAGTCAGTGCCTCCCATGTTGGCGAAGAACCTGAGCTACCCAGGTGTGATTTCTCTGAGAAACCGAGCTCAAGGGTAACATCCAGCTCTTTCCCAATAGAAGGCAGCACCTAAAGCCTCATCTTATTCTCCCCAGATACAGCTCTTTCAAGGTGAGCTTAAGAGGGACAGTGGGGAACTACCTACCAAAACCACAATAACAAAGCTTTCCAATCCATGGCCCTTTCCCTCTCACCTGGACAGCCGACTGTCACAGCCATTCCCGATGCTGTGGAACTGGTGTGGCAGCCAGAGCATAAAGTATTCCAATATGGTTATCCCGTACAGGCATGGTTGTCAATCTCCATTCTTGGAGGTTGCCAAGCCTCAGCTGGACAAAGTCATGGCTGCCTTGTTTTTGTGTTGGTGACAGTCCTCCTCTGAGCACAAAATACAGCTTCATCCCTTCAGAGGCCTCTTCCCATCAATGTTTCTAGGATATAAACCCTGCAAAGCAAACTAATAAAGAAATATTAAATTACCTGCAGAAGAAAGCTTGATATCTGCAACTGCCTCAGTGGTACCAATTCCTTTCAGCGTAATGTCCTGAGGGACAAGTGGGGGGAACTCTTTCATTCGCTCTTCCCCACCCATGGGAACCTAAGATCAAAACATGGAGAGAAGATTTAAACAGTCAAGAGATGCTTCAGCACTCTTACCTTAAGCCGGTGAGCAAGGCACAAGTAGGAATAAAGATATTAGACTCTTTTTAGCCACATAAGAGCTGGCTTGAATACCTTACAGGAGTTTTTTCAGGTTTGCCAAGAACAGAATCAGGATCCCATCCAAAGCAACCCAGTGGGAGCTCAGAGGTGAGCAAAGACGGAGTGCCCACTGCAGGGCCCAGCTGGCGGCTCAAGCCAGCCACCCTGATGTGGGTGACAGCACTTGTTCTCAATGTGAACAGGAATGGAGCTGCCAGGACAAGGACAGCTCACCCTGTCCCCCATCAATCTGAAAGTGCTACACAGTATGTGGCAATCCCAAGGAAAAAGTCAGACCACTGGAAGATGAAGGGATGAGCAGAGGATCCGGTGGGAAAAGAGTAAGAAGGTACATTTTTCAACTGCAATCTGTTCTGAAACCCCATCTCAGGTGCTCTCTCCTAACACAGCCGCAGCCATGCAGCCTGTGCAAGAGTGCTCCCCGCTGCACATCTCTGCTCTCCCACTGCAGAAGTCCCAAACTCCTGACTATGCTGGGTTTGTGTGTGTGGCGGAAGGTTTTGGTAGCAGGGGAGGGGTTACAGGGGTAGCCCCTGGGAGAAGCTTCTCAAAGCTTCCCCAACACCAAGTTGGACCCACCTCTAGCGACGGCAGTTGTGCCTCTGCAAGAAGATACTTAAGGGAAACTGAGGAGGAAGAGTTGGAGTTGTGAGGTGGAATGGAGGGAAGCATTTGTGTGAATACCCAGGTCAGTGGAAGAAAAGAGAAGGAGGAAGGGGGAGATGCGTAACGGTGCAGAGACTCCCCTGCAGCACACGGGGAGATGGCAGAGCCACCCCTGCCACCCACGGAGGTCACTGGTGGAGCAGATGCCCACCTGCAGCTCATGGAGGACCCCATGCTGGAGCAGGTCTCTGCACCTGAAGAAGGGTGGGACTCTGAGGGAACCCCACTGTTATAGTTCAGCGTTGGGAGGACTGCAAAGTGTGAGAGGGACCCACGCTGGGGCAGCCTGGGAAGAGCTGCAGCCTGTGGAAAGGACTCATGCCAGAGAAAGTTTGTGGAGGACTGTCTCCCACGAGAGGGACCCCACGTTGGAACAGGGGAAGAGCGGGAGGAGTCTTCCCCCTGAGGAGAAGTGACAGGACTGACTGCACCCTCCATTCTCTGCCCCCTGCACTGCTGAGGAGAGGAGATGGAGAAATCGGGAGCAAAACTGAGCCCAGGAAGAAGGGAGGGGTGGGGGGGAAGGTGTTTTTAAAACATGGTTATACTTCTCACTGTCCTACTCTGTTAAGTGTTGTTGTCGGTGGTGTTTGAATTAAATTGATGGGTTTTTTTCTTCCCCTAACCAGTCTGTCTTTTGCCCATGACCATAATGGGCAAGTCATCCCTCCCTGTCCTTGTCTTGACCCACGAGCCTTCTGTTGTATTTTCTCCTTCCCATTCCTGAGGAGGGGGAAGGAGTGAGCAAGCAGCTGTGTGGTGCTCAGCTGCCCTGTGGGCTCAAGCCAGGACACTGGCACATGCTGGTTTTTCTTGTCAGTTGTGCCCCAGCCAGGGCGCTTCACCAGGTGGGACAGCCTGTCTATCTGCAGCCAAGAGCCCACGACAGCACCTCCTCTTACCTTTAATAACTCTTGGCCAGCATGTTTCTTGTAGATGGCATCTGCATTACTCAGGGTAGAAATGTGGACTGGCAACAGGTTAGAAGCCACGACAGAAAACCAGGCGGACTTTTCTCCCTGAGATAAACAACAAGAGGAGGGTGTTGTTTACGATAACAGAAAAGCAGCCCTGAATTGCTCTCTTTCTTTCCCGCAGGTTGAAAACTTCTTTGACTTATGTCCCCTCCTTGTCCGAGGGATCCTTGCCTCTGTCTCTGCAGAGCAGCTAGGGTTTATATAAACAGGGAGCTGAGCTTCCAGGACAGAAGCAGCCATGGCTTCACCATCCTGCCTCAAAGCACCCCCAATACCATATCCCCTGCCATCACATCTGCTCACCTCAGGCAAATCATCCAAGAGGTATCTTTGCTCAAGTTTAATTCCCAAGAACAAACTCTCTGATTATTTAGCATGAGAGGCGATGGACATCTCCCATCTGCTGCTGCTTCTCCTATCACTTTACATTTCCAACATGCATCTCTCACTGAGCCATACTTGGTTTCAAGATGCTCTTGAACTACGCGAAGGCTGAATGTGGAACAATTTCAGCAGGCACGATCGTAACTTTTGCACACAAAGCAAACAGGGTCAGAGAGGAGAGAAACCTCCGCAAACACTGCTAGCAGCCTGAAATATGGAAACTCAAGTGTGGCAGTTCCTTCAAGCTCCTCACAGATCTAATCTGAGGCAGGGGCTCCTCTGTCATGATCAGAGCACAACTGTCTTCCTTCAAGGTCTCTGGACGATGTAGATTCAGAAGACTTATACAGCAATGGGCTGAGACAGATACCAAGGACCTTGGGGCCCTGAATATGCACAATTAAGCTTGCCAAGAGCACTATTACATGGAAAACAGGCTTGTAGCACAGAGCCGGCCAGCCCTGCTGCGCTGGACAGGTCTCTGAGCCCGATTCTCTCATCAGGAGATGGTGTGACTTCTTCACCCTGACCTCAGGCTCCCTAGGCTGCCAACATCAGCCACATTTTCCACAATTCCCAAGAACAAAAGTCATCCCTCACGACAAAACAACCCCCCCGAGTAGCCCTGCAGCTACCTCATCTCACAGTATTTCTACAGAGGCCGTTTACTGACAGCAAGACATTACCTGTATTGCTGTGCTACTTTGTCAGGGACACAAATCCAGCTGCTTTTGTGAGTCACTCACAGCACCCAACCAACATGCTTAGAAGTTCTTTTCCTAGAGCTTTGCCCAAAACAGTAAAGATAAAGACAGTTTCGTTCCTGCTGGGTTGCTCTCCTCACAAACAGCATTTTTTCCCCTGAGTGAGGCATTACTCCTCTGTACTGCCAAGCTGTTTTCTTGGACTGAGCTCTGGATTCTCACCTTAACTATGATGGAGCTCTCCTGCCATACTGGTACATTATTACTGACAGAATCCTGTCCCGTCCACCTTTCTGGTTTTCTTCCAGCAGGTCATGAATGACCTCAGCAAAGTACCAATTCAACATTTCTATGGTGATCCTTGAAAGCTGACTGGAACAAAGGAATAGCCACACACACATGCCCTTCCCAAAACACAGCAAACTACTGAGGAAAACATTACTTTAATTGCTAGATCCGTATCTGGAAGAAACCACCGCTTTCAGAGGAAACATCATGGGAATTCAGCTCTACCCAGTTCAATAAATGTGTATGGCATGAGATTTCCAATAAACGGAAGGAATTGGTGGGGACACATGCGCAGACCACTTTTAAAAAATATTTTTACAGAAACTAAAATACGTGTACTTTTAATTGCTTCCTTGGGCAGATTCTTCAGAGAGGTCTGTGTCAGGAAAGCAAAATGCCTCTGCTTTTCTCTCATGGCAGACAGCTTTCACAAAACACAGAAATGAGGAAACCCACCTATTTTCCCAGTTAATTCTGGCACTCTCCTTCCTCCCCAACTTGTACTTTTGTATGTTATGAGAAGCACATTGAGCTGAAGGTGTTTGCTACCATTCCAAAGCAGTTACCATTACACAATATAAAATACTGCATGCTGGTAACAAGTATCAAACCCTTCAACTGCAACTCCCCATCCCAGGGCACTGTGACTTTATGCATGCTTTATTAACAGATTCATCACCTCAAAAGCAGCAAAGAAAGGGTCCAAAAAAGCTACCCAGAAAGCCTTTTATCATCTGGTATTATAACAAGAGATGAAGCAGCTGCTTACAAAATCCTATTTCCCTTACCTGTAAGTAGTCTACACGTCCCAAGGCTGCTAAAAACAAGACCATTCCTGGCTTGAGAATAAAGGTCCGTGGAATGATGGCATTTGTTGGCAAAACCAGCTTTACTTCTTTCTCTGTCAGAAGATTTAAAACCTGCAGAATAAATTGTACTGCCATAACTCATTCCAGATGTTTCAATTAAATTCATATTGGTATTATACTGATAGAAGAAAAAGATCAAGTAGAACAGTGTGAAGAACGTCTAACAGAACAGTTCAATTCTGGCCCACACAGTAAGTGAGAAACAGGAGGAGGTAGGGATGTCACCGGTCTCCATGGCAATGCAGGGTCCATAAGAGAATGTAACAGCTGCCAGCAGCCTGTTGGACCATGCATTTGGGAATCCTGGGTCTGGCTGGAACAAGCTCACACAACTTTTACTGTGCTTTAGCATGAGTGCAGCCACCTGCAGAACTGAAAACCACCTTCAGCTATGACATTTGAGATACTCCACTTACATAGCGACACAAAGTGCCGAATCAATACTAGCAGCAAAGCTAGTCTCAAATATCTCACTGGGAGAAAAGGATCACGTTGCGACACAACTCAAACTGCAGGATGACCAGCCTGCCACACACCAGGGATCCCTACCCTAGGCACAGTGAAACAAGCTCTCCCCTCTGTGAGGTCTCCCAAACGCTCCTGCTGCCTGTCTTCTTCTCCTCCCTTTTTCCTTCCATCTCCCGGCTTAACTGGCTCATCTGTTTAGGTGCTAACTTATTTCAGTGAAATGATACACTGCAAAGCCTACTTAAAAGCCAGCAATTTAACCAGTAGTGCTGCAGCCACAGCACCAGCTATGAAACAATGTGCAGGCACAGAAGTTCAGAGGAAGCACTACTTTGAAGGAAGCAGCTAGTCTCCATGCTGACAGCATCTCTTTCCTAAACACAGGGAACTGACAGCAGAAATGCTTCCATCTGTGCCCCCCGTGCATGCCACAGTCATGCAAATACGAGTTTGTAGCAGTCTGGCCACGAGGATTCAATTCAGCATTAAAAGACTGAACTAACATGGGTTGTGGTGCAACCAGTACCCCGAATGCTCCTCCTATGTTCACAAGCAGACAACCTTTAGCTTGAAAGTCAGGGCAGCCTTCAACACCGATCCTTTAGGAGACTTTGCCCGGCCAGTGGCAGGTTTTCTGATGTATCTGGCAATGCTTAAACAAAAATTTGAGTTATCAGTAATCCTCTTCCAGGCTTTCCAGAAGTTTGACTTTGGAAGGAGTCATGAGGAAGCAGCTAAAACCAAACCACCAAGGAATAAGGACAAAAATTTAATTCCATCATATGCTAACAGCTGCCTTCCTTCGCTCTTCTTCCAAGAGAAAAAAGCCCAAACCTGCTCATAACTAAAAATCTTCCCTGCCAACATCTGCCACGTATCTGCTTGTCCTACAGTTAGATCAAACACTGACCATGGGAACAAAACTTGTTCTGAAACTTGGCATGTATAATCAGCAAGGATAATAAAAATCAGAAATGGCAGCAAGTATTTCTGGATGCAGGGAAGCCCACTTATTTTCCACACTTTTCAACTCCAGAAGAGGGAAGAACATATCCAATCTCCAGTTACCAAACCAGGTCTCTAAGCTGATGACTGTACAGTTCTTGTACTTGATTCTCTTCAGAACTTTCCAAAGTCCTTGTACTTTTTAATCTTCCCCCAAAAATGACCTGTAGCTCTGCATAGATATCAAAGCGATCAAAAAAATCAAACCGCGACTTTTTTGGACATGTGTACTACATCAGCACTGGCTTCAGAGCCACTGCTCTACTGAAACATTGAGCTAGGTCTGACCCATCGAAGCTATTAACAGGAACACTGCGGATCCTGTTAGCTTCAGAAGAATGCTTTCTCAAAGATTTGGTTCAGTCACACAACAGTGGTTATGCTCCTAAGCTCCACCTTTTCCAGTAAGCTGGTAGTGCTAAAAAAGTGCTGGTATGAACTTACTTACAGCACTATCACTTCCCGTCATTTAGATGTTAAGAAAGTTTGATGACGCAGTTGTACAGTTCCTTTGCAAAGATCACAGCATGCACTATTCAGAAATGCAACAGCGTTAACACAATGAATCCTTCCCACGTAAACACAAACAATATTTTAATACACTTGCCCAAACCAAAAGAATCCTAACCCCAGGACTGCAGCAGAAACACTCTCCCATGTGCACAGTCAAGGCAGAACAGTCCTCCCAAACCCTGTCATCCCGAAACACAGCACCACAGAGTACCTACACAGTCTTCCTTTACAATCCCTGGAGTGTCAAAACACCAGCGAGCATCCTTCACTTCATTGTATGTGAACTCCTCCCTTTCCTCAGGCTTCCTAGGGGAATGTCTGGGCTCTTCATCTATGCTGTAGGAGAGCATGTCAGGGTCAAAGTCAATCACAGGGCTAGCCTTCTGTTGTTGAAATGTTCTTCCAACTCTTCCTGGATTAAAACAAAAGGTTTCCTGGTAATTAAGTTATTAACTTGCCTTTCATTCAGTTGGACATCTGTCCCTTCCCTTGCTTAAAAGAAGTGGCAATATAAAGGTGATAAAGATGCTATGTGGTTAGAAATTTGTGTGTTCAAAAGCCAAGATGCTAAGAAATCCCTTCTATAACTCTTGCTTAGCGCACCTCGAGTCCCAAAACTTTAGCAGGGACCAGATTACAGACACTCCATTTATTTCTGTTTTACAGTAAAGCAGGCTGCCTTCTTTTTTCAGTGCCTTACACTGCCAAACACAGAATTATTTGAAAATCAGGACTACCTTCTGGCAACTCGCTCTTTTGGATATGTACTAAAACGATGTACAACCACTGTGGCCTGCAGACAAAACATGATCATTTAAAAATTAAACTTGTTTTCTTCCTCAGAGAACAAGAGATGGCCTATAACGCAACATCACTATAACCTACTAAGCTATCTGAACAAGGTTAGCAAATGCTGATGGGAGGTGCACTGCACAGAGGACACCTCTGCAATGCTGCTACAACAGCTGAAAAATAAGTACTCAGAAGAAATACTAACGATGCTACTTGCAGAGAAGCTAGAGGTCTTGCACCCATTACTCAGGGAAGAAAAGCTGGTCAAAACTTGAATGCAAGTTTGGGAATTTTTTATTGCTACTACAGATAACAAGTTCTTCCCATAATTAAATGGAAATTAGTTCTTTCAGTGTGGGAAGACATTACTTGCCAAAGCCAGCTGGATTCTACAGCAAATTAAGGAGTTAAGGAATCCTTTGTGTAGCGCAGTATTTTCATTAGGGCAGAGAGGCAATACTCACCCACAAAGTAACCTTGCTTTTTAAGTTGATTAAGGTACTTTTTTTCTTCACTGCTTAGTTGATCTTCTGTTTTTGTTGCCTCCTCTTTCAGCCTCTCCTGCCTTCGGAATATCCTGTCACATGTAGGATTAATAATTGGAAATTTCAACAGGTTCAGTGTTGTTCCTGGAAGTAAAAAAGAAGGCATGTTTGGGCCTCTGACTACCTGGCACATTTAAGATCAGAGGGACGAGAAAAAGAAAAAAAAATTGCTTTTTCAACTTTTGGGCGAAACCCAGTAACACAAAATTGGAGGTGGAACTACAGCTGCTCCCATAAAGAAAGTACCAGCCTCCCCAGGCAGGGTGGCAGAAACAAGGCATCCACCTGCTCGAGACCTGCGCTCACCTATGGTTTGATGGAACAGGGTCTCAAAGCCAAGTGGTGTCAAGACTGACTTAATCAACCAGCTCCAGGCAGCTTAGTTTGCCCTACAATTGTTTTACAGGCGCTCACCAGTCCACCTCCCAGTCTCTCTCGAGCGGAGGGCACCCCTAATCGGTAGGGAGACAGCAGGGCAGACGGATCGGCTGCCAACCCCCTGGCAGGGGAGCACACAGGCTGGCTCGGGTTTAACAAACCCCCTTGCTGCCACGAGATGCCCAGCACGTTCTGGCACATGCCTCCCAGCTAGAGGAAGGTGACGATCTGAAGCGCGGCCCTGGAGCTCGCCGCGGTGATGCTTCACGGCAGTGGGGCAACGAGCCTCCCCTTTCCCCCTGGGGGAAGGGCAGCCGGCGTCAGAGCACCCGCGACGGCAAGAGGGGAGAGCGGCGCCCCTGACCTGGCCAGGGGGAGACGGTGGCCCTGTCGACGATGTTGGGGGCGCGGGACTTGCAGTAGTCGGAGCGCAGGAGGGTGTTGAAGAGCGTTGACTTGCCGGAGTTGGTGGCGCCCAGCAGGTAGACGTCGCCGGCGCACTTCCAGGACCGCTGCAGCCGGCTGACCAGCCCCTCCATGCCGAAGCCCGTCCTGGCGCTCACCAGGCGGACGTCCACCAGTGGGGCCCCACGCAGGCCGGCCTGGGCACAGGCCGCCGCCAGCCGCCGCCGCAGCCGCCCCAGGTGCCCGGGGGAGTCGGCGGGCAGCAGGTCTACCTTGTTGCCCACCACCAGCAGCCCGGCGGCGGGGATGTCAGGGTCCAGCAGCCCCGCCAGCTGCGGCAGCACCGGGTCGGGCAGCTCCAGCACGTCGAGGATGTAGAGGAGGAGCGGGCCGTGGCCGTGGCGCGGGGGGCTGCGCAGGGCGGCGCCGACGACCAGGCGGTGCTGCTCGGGGGGCAGCCGCAGCCCCGGGGCGCGGCCGTGGTGGGTCACCTGCCAGCAGCGCTGGCAGACGGCGCCCCGTAGCCCCGCCGCGCTCTCCGACAGGCTCCGGTACTTCTCCGCCGGCACGAAGCCCGGCGCCGCGCCGTCGCGGTACTGCAGCTCGGCCCCGCAGCCCGAGCAGCTCACCCCGCTCGGCAGCATCGAGGCGTCGGGACACCCCGCCGCCGCTGCCGGCTTCGGCTGCCGCTGCTGCCGCTGCTGCCGCTCCCGACGGGGCGGCGGGGCCGCTGTCGCCGCCTCACCCGGCTCCGGCTCGTACTCCAGGAAGACGAACCGCTCCTCCTCGCCGCCGGCTACCGCCGCCCCGCGTCGCGGCAGCGAGGCCCAGGCGCGGGCCCAGCGGCCCAGGAGCGCCGGGACCAGGCGGCGCATGGCGGCACCGGCGCCTCGCGGCGGGCGGGGCTTAACGAACCGCGCATGCGCGCTCACCGCCCCCTCTCCCCCCTTCCCCCCGGTTGCCTCCTGGGAGACGGCGCGCGCAGCCGTCCCGCCCCGTGACGTCAGCACGGTGCGCAGGCGTCGCTCCGCCGTCTTCCCGCCGCAGCTCCCGCCGCCCCTTTCCTTCTCGGTCGCCGCCGCCGCCCGCGGCTCCTCCCGCCGCCGCCATGTACGACGCGGACGAAGGTGAGGGGAGCCTGGTGCCCCCGGCGAGGGGGGCCGGGGTCTCGGGCCGCTGCTGGGGGCCGGGGGGGGTCCCTCGCGTCGCCCTGTGCCGGCCGCCCTCAGCAGGCGGGGCGGGGGGGGGGGAGGGAGGCACCGCGGGGGCTGGAACCTGGCTTCACCGTTGTGCTTCCCCGGCAGATATGCAGTATGATGAAGACGATGATGAAATCACCCCCGACTTGTGGCAAGAAGCCTGCTGGATCGTTATCAGGTGACGGGCTAGAGCTCGCTGCTCTTAAGGCTTCGGTACATGTGTCCTGGCTCCTACAGGTGCTGTAAAATCACAGAACGGTTTGGGTCGGAAGGGACCTTAAAGATCATCTGGTTCCAACTCCCTGCTTCAGGCAGGGACAACCTGTGCCAGGGATTCACCACCCTCACAGTGAAGAGTTTCTAATAGATTATACCTAATCTGAATCTCCCCTCGTTCAGTTTGAAATCATTACCCCCCTGTAGGCCCCCTTTAAGGCTGCTATAAGGTCTCCCTGGAGCCTCTTCTCCAGGCTGAACACCCCCAACTCTCTCAGCCTGTCCTCACAGGGGAGCTGCTCCAGCCCCCTGATCATCTTCATGTCCCTTCTCTGGACCCGCTCAAGCAGGTCCATGTCCCTCTTATACTGGGGACCCTAGAGCTGGACACAGGGCTGCAGATGGGGGTCTCATGAGAGCAGAGTGGAGGGAGAGAATCACATGGGAATCTCTTGATGCAGCCCAGGACACGGTTGGCCTTCTGGGCTGCAAGCACACATTGCTGGCTCATAGTCAGTTTTTCATCCACTGATACCCCGAAGTGCTTCTCCGCAGGGCTGCTCTCCATCCACTTATGGCCCAGCCTGCATTTGTGGTTGGGATTACCCCGACCCATGGGCAGGACCTTGCCTTGTTGAACTTCATGAGATTTGCACAAGCACACCTCTCAAGCCTGTCAAGGCCCACATTTTCTCTCGTCTTTCTTTTAAAACTGGTGTACCTATAGAAGGTTTTCTTGTTGCCCTTGATGTCCCTGGCCAGATTTGATTCTATCAGGGCTTTAGCTTTCCAAGTCTGATCTCTGGCTGCTCAGACAACTTCTCTGTATCCCTCCCAGGTTATCTGTCCTTGCTTCCTCCCTCCATAGACTTCCTTTTTGTGGTTGAGCTTGTCCAGGAGCTCCTTGTTCATCCATGCAGGCCTCCTGATGTTTTTACCTGGCTTCCTCTTTGTCAGGATGCTTTGCTTCTGAGCTTGGAGAAGGTGATCCTTGAATATCAAGCAGTTTTTCTGGGCCACTCTTCCCTCCAGGTCTTTATCCCATGCTACTCAGCTTCTCCTTGTTGGTGAGAACAAGGTCCAACATAGCACCTTTCCTTGTTGGCTCCTCTGTCACTCAGAGAAGGAAGTTATCATCAACACATTCCAGGAAACCTCTTGGATTGCTTATGCCCTGCTGTGTTGTCCCTCCAAGAGATATCAGGGTGGTTGAAGTCCCCCATGAGGACCAGGGCTTGTGAACGTGAGGCTGCTGCTAACTGTCTGTAGAAAGCTGCATCCACTTGATTTTCCTGTCTGGGTGGCCTGTAGCAGACTCACACTCTATAATATCACCTGTCCTTGCCCTGCCTTTAATCCTGACCCATAAGCTCTTGGTCAGCTCCTCATCCATCCCCAGGTAGAGCTCCAGGCACTCCAGCTGGTCATTGACATAGAGAGCAGCACCTCCTTGTCATCTCCCCTTGTGTCCTTCCTAAAGAGCCCGTCTCCTTCCATTCCAACACTCCAGTCACAGGAGCCAGCCCACCACCTCTCCGTGATGCCAGTAAGATCATAGCCTTGCAGGCGTGCGCATGTCTTCAGCTCCTCTTGTTTATTCCCCACGATATGTGCATTTGCATGGGGGCATTTAAGCCGGGCCCTGATGAAGCTGACCAACTGGCTGTAATTCTTTGTGCTGCTCTTCAGGTGCTCTGCTGCTGACCTGTGATCCCTGCCCAGGCTCTGGGCATCTGTTGCTGGCACTGGCATCAAGCTGGTAGGAGTGGGATGGATTGAGGGTTCCCCTTCCCCAATAACTTTAGTTTAAATCCCTCTTCACCAGCTTGTCAAGCCTATGGCTGAAGTTGCTCTTCCCCTTCTCTGACAGAGGGACCCTGTCAGACCCCAGTAAACCAGGTTCCTCAAAGTGAGTCTGATGGTCCAAGTAGCCAAACCCCTGGCTGTGGCACTGGTCCCGTAACCAGTTTGTTGATTTGCCAGATTCAACTGGTCTTTTCAAACCCCTTCCCTTTGACTGGGAGGATTGATGATAAAACTGCCTGTGCTCCAGAGTCCCTTACAGCCACTCCCAGGGCTCCATAATCCCTCTTGATAATCCTTAGACTGCTCCTGGCTGTGTCACTGGTGCCCACATGAAACAACAGCAGTGGATAATCATCAGTGGGCTGTATGAGGCTGGGTAGTCTCTTGTTGACACCTGACACAAGCCCCCAGTAAGCAACACTCCTCTCTAGAGAGTGTGGCGGGTTGGCAGATGGTGCCTCCACACCTCTCAGAAGAGACACGTGCTACCATCACCCGTCGCCTTTTCCCGGTTGCAGTGGTTGTTCCGTGGGGAGCAGGCTGGGCTGCCTTCCTCAGCTCCAGCATCTCTCCTGCTGTGATAAGTCTTTCCTCTTCAGTCTGTGGAGTGGTGAAGCGATTCTGCAAGAGCACCTCAGAATTAAGGGGAAGCCTCTTCCTCCTGCAGGTCCTTGCTCTTGCGAGCTTCCATTCTTCTCCATCATTGGCCCCTCTCCCTTCCCTGTGTGCAGGTGGGGGGAGTTTTTGGCTGCTTGGCCGTGGGCTGTTGGTCCACTGCAGACTGCTCTTGGAACCAGCTGTCCAACTTCTCCTCAGGCTCCCTGGTGCTATGCAGCCTTCTCACCACATCCAGTTCTGTAGCAACGTGCCATGGAAGCTGCAGGCTTGGTTATGCTGAATTGTGGGGTTTAGCATGTTCAGAGCAGAAGGGCTTTAAGCAGAAACAGCAGGGTTGTCACTGGGGATTGAGAAGCCCTACTGATCCCCGGTGGGGTACACTGTTTTGAATGAAGCAAGAAGTGATTTTGATTCCATATCAAGCGTGTGATTTTTGCCCATTTACAGCTGATGCTGGCAGTAGGAAAACTGTACTTGGCTATTTCACCATGTTAGCGTTTTTCTAGTAAGACATGAACCTTCAGGACCTGCAGCTTCTTGTCACTGTTAAGGAGTGGAATGCTGTGTGGAACTGAGTAAAAAGTGTTTCTCTTGCTAATTTTATCATTCCTAAAATGTATGTGACTGGTGTCTTAGAGCAGCAGTTGCAAACAGAAGGGTAGGTCTGCAGGGGTGGTCCCATAGGCAGGATGGAGAGCTGAGATGAGCAGCTTTGGAGGCAGAAGGAGATCCTTTCTTTTGCAGCCTGGTGAAGAGACCTACCTTTGCTTTCAGTTGGGTGGGAGGTAACTAAGGCAGGCCCTTCAGCTGAAGCGGCATCTCACTCCATATGCTGAAACTTCTATTTTACAGTGAGGCTGACCAAGCACCAGCATGGCTTGCCCAGAGAGGTCATGGAATCTCTGTTTCTGTCCTTGGTGGTATTCAGAAGCTGTCTGGACATGATCTTGGACAGTCAGCTCTAAGTGACCTTGCTTGAGCGGGGTGATAGGACAAGATGACCTCCAGAGGTCCCTTCCAACCTTAACCGTTCTGTGATATAGGTTGCCCTTTCCTTTCCTCCTTCCCCTTGTGCAACAGCAGACTGTGCTGGCAAAATTTCACTGTGGCAACAGCATGATAGCCAACGGTGTGTTCCCCTTCTTGGGGAAGGCTGAGGTTATTGGTAGGGAGATAGTTCTTACCAGTTTTCTGTAGAGATCTTGGCAGCAATGAGGCAGAAGCTGAGGCAGTGTGGGTTCCTGGCTAGCTTCAGGAATGTCAGGTAGAGGAGCTTTCTGGCAGGGGCTAATGCAGCAGACATGTTTAGGTCGTCCCATTAAAAGTTAGGATGTGGGTCTTTGAATTTAGGCTTTGATTTTTACAGTTAGGTTGTGCTGGGTTGAGGCTAGGTGAGAAAGGCTAAGGGAAATCTGGAGGAGGAGTGAAGCTGGGAATCTCTGTGTGGCTGGAACAGAGGGGATCCATCCAAGCTAAGAAAAGTGCTGAGAACTATTACCTTGACTTAGGGGCATGCATTCAATTCATGCAGCTTGGACAATTATTTAAAAAAAAATAATTTACGTACATTGTTGAAAACTTTAGATGAAGCCACTTTTACTGAGCTTTGTCGTTGTGTTTCCCTTCTAATTTAAGGTAGTCTGTGTGTACAGTCATGGCTTAGCCAAGAGGTGGCAGCAAGTCTCTCGCTTTGTAGTGTCTGCGTCTTCAAGCAGGGAGAGAATTGTGAAACTTTGAGCATCTGTGTTTGAAACTCGCGCCTTGGGAAAAGTGAATGCGTTTGATCCTGGAGTGTATTTTGTGGCTTTTGGAGGTTTTGTAATAAATGCATTTTAATCTTGTTGATGTATGAAGCACATGAATTAAATTAACATCTCTTGTTCATTAATGCACTTTTTCTTTTTTCTAGCTCCTATTTTGATGAAAAGGGTTTAGTCAGGCAACAGTTGGATTCTTTTGATGAGTTTATTCAGATGTCTGTGCAGAGAATTGTTGAAGATGCTCCACCAATTGATTTACAAGCTGAAGCCCAGCATGCCACAGGAGAAGTGGAAGAGCCGGTAAGTGGAGAGCCTGGGCAGA